GGCGAAATGGCATGAAGGCACTTCCAGGACGATGTGAAGACTCAGAAGGAGATTTGATGGAGCTGTTAGATGTAGGGGTAGTTGGAGCTGAGCTAGTGCTGTTCTTGCTCAAATCGATGGGTCCATGTGCATCATCAGCAGATACATCACAGGGCTCCAGCTTGATGCTGACCTCTTGATGCTCTCCGGGTGATCCTCGGGATCGTCTGATTTCTCCAGGCTCTGCGTCACCCTTCTGGGCATTCTGTGCCAATCTGGCTAGCTCCTGCTGGTACATTGTAACAGCTGCAATGTTTCCAGCACTCTCGGCAGCCTGAGCCAGTTTTAACAATTCCTGTCTGTAGATCCTCTCTACCATTTCTTTGGCTGATCCCTGGCTCTCCACACTTTCACGCCTGCGATGTTGCTCCAAATCTTTAGGATGCGGCAGAGCAATTGACCCTGAGCTGGTCATGATTGAAGATGCAGAGCCATGTGGGGATGGCAGGCCATGTTGTGCTGTCACCTGTGCTAGCCTAGTCATTTCCTGCTGATAGTAACTGTTTACCATGGCATGTGCCACTTGTTGCTGCAACAATAACAATTTCAAATGTAACCTGATGTAAACAGACTTGCTAATTTTTTTAAAATTTTTTTTCCAACTTTTTGTCCTCTTTAAAGACAGTGATATAACTGTCTTCAGAAAAGTCTAAGAATTTTCTCTTTTCTAGTATGTAAATTTTTGTGAAGAACAAATAATACCTGTTCCATAGCCTTTTTAAATTGCATAGCCTGCTGAGCTTCATTCAGAATTTGAGTAATTCTCTCCTCTGTCTGGGAGTCTTCCCTCTGTACGCTGGGTACCAGGGTGGTGGGGCCTGTCAAGGGGAACATTGGGTTAAAGACTGACCTTAGCCCTAGGGCCGAGCGACTCGCTGCAATCAGAAAGTGGCCCACTATTGCCTGGATTCTTACAATGCAATGTATCAAATTTTACTTCTTAAAAAAATATGTTTAAATAATTTAAATTCATTCCAAATAATCTTAAAAAATAATAAAAGAAAGACACTGAATAATAAAATAAAGAATTAAAAAAATGTTTATTTTTTTTTATGATTTAAAAAAAATTAAAATTTGAAAAAAAAAAATTTCGAAAAATGCAGGCAAATAATAATAATTTAATAATATATCCAGATACTTGTACATAAAATGTATGAAGATGCTGCTGATTAACTTTCACCAATGAATGATATTAACCCAGGCAATATATTCCACATACACTGTCAGCAAGTCCTCCCTAATTTACAGTGTACATTCAATTTTGATCATACATGCTCTTATAATGAGAAAATATTATCACAAAATTTTCAAACAAGCTTGTGAATGATATTTATTTAAATAAAATCATGCAATTTCTTAAAAATGCAACTTGAAAAAAAGATAAATGTATCACCTTGTTATGTTCTTTAATATATGCTTTTTATTAGTTTCTGTTCATGCATACATGTACATCACAAACTAAATATACACACCTTTCTTTGGTGAAATAGCCTTCAGTGCCATAATATTCCTTTCATCTGTGGCCCAGGCATACATCTTCCTATACGATTCGCGTCCTTTTTCAGTAAGCTTGTCCCAAGACTTGGGCTTCGACAGAAGTTCACTCACAGTGCCTTGTGATAGCCCAAGTACATGCTTGGCAAACAAACGTTGTCCAATATTATGAATACTGAGAAGTTCTCTAACAGTTTTGGCCACTAAAGAAGTGTCTATTCCTTGTGAATTACTAGGGTCAGTTTTTCCCATGGACATACTCATATAATTTGGGAGTCCATGTCCATTTAAATACGAGAAAAACTGAGGTGAGGGTGGGGGTGGGAGACTGGGAGTACTCTCCCCTGATACACTGGGCATTCTTTCTAGTGAAATGGGTCTCTTGGGATTAATTTTTTCAGGAACTGATTCTTCTTTAATGCCATTGCTAGATGGCGTTGGAGGTGAAGAGGGAGTTGAGATTCTGGATGAATTTTGGCGTTGATAGGATGAAGCTATTTCTTCTCCTAGCATGGATGCAAATGCAGCAGCATTTTCAGAGAGGGCAGGTGTTGTCGTCCCTGAAAGAAAGGTGCAATAATGCACATGAAAGCTTATTTTTGGATTAAAAAAAGCTGGCTGGTTAAATCATGGTCTTCCAATAAAAATAGCAGCAAATAGCAAATTTTGTTGACATGCATTTTTTTATTTCTTCTTCTTTTTTTTTTTTTGCCTTGCATGCCGTAAAAACAAATTTTAAGAAACATTTTGGAATATTTTGGGAAGGGTTTTGGATTCAATTTGCATTTCATGGCCAGTACACCTTTCTTCCATATATATCAAAATAAAGAAATAATATTTCAGAATGTGTTGCAGTCTTGAAGAATGAAATGATTTTTCTCAGCTGCAGTTAGTACAGAAAACCAAACCGTCAGTAAAAAAAATTCTAGCTATTGGAAAATGATGAACAGAAGTCTTTTATAAATGTATTCCATTTTGAGAATTGGAAGACTTTGAAAGATTTTTTTTTTAAATTCACAAATGAAACTGCAAGATTTTCTGTGCAAGGGAGGTAACAAGTCTTTGTGTAATACTTGTTACCTCCCCTGAACTCCTCTTCATATGAATCAGGGTGTGAAATGATGGCCAGCTATATCTACATTACTTCCAAACACATGCGAGACATACCTGAGAGATCACTGTTGTTGACTTTAAGTACTGTGTTCTCAGACTGCAGTGCTTTGTTTTTCTCCAAGAGTAAGACTTCCAAAGACTTTGGCTGAATGTCTCCATCAGGCTCATCCGACCCCAGCTTGTTGTTGGAAAATTCTATAGATTTCATCACACTGAAAGAGACAATATTTCATCTTAGATACAAGAAGCAGGTGTATTGAGAGCTTTGAGGTTTTTAAATCATTCAATAGCTGACATTATAACAAACCTTAAATGACTTTGTGTCTTTTTCATCCTTTAATCTTAACATTTTCTTGACAAATGAAAACAGTTTTTTTTTTCCTGATTAAAGTCTTATCCCAATCAGTCCTGATCTTCATGTTACAAAAGTTTATCAAGCATTGATCCACAAGTACCCCATTAATTGGCTGAAATATGGCTCTGTATTTCAACCAGCACAAAAAATCTCAATAGCACAATTTTTTCTTTCTTGAAGAGTGTTACATGAACTTCCCCTTCATCTAATTACTCAAGTTTAAACTAATTACCTGAGTTCCCTTTTGATTTCTTCATAGTCTTCCTGAGATTTTATCTTCTCTTCCAGTAATTTGAAGGCCTGATTTTTTGAAGCCAGTTCATCTTCAAGCTTGGAAACCTAAACCAGACATTTGATTTTGAATATAAATTGAATTCAAAGATTAAATTCAACCATTTAAATTAATATATAATATGACTAATCAAATGATGAAACATTGATTTAAAATTTGACAATTTTATTCTTCTTGACTCACGGTTAAAAATTGTTAATTTCCAAGTCTAAATTAATATTTGTTAAATTTTAGTAGAGTAATAACAGATAATGATTTTCACCAGATTTTGTCTGGCTCATAGATCAAGTCTGACCAGATGTTACTATAGTGGAACATTACACATTGGCAGTGGTGATCAATCAATATTTCAAATGATCACTACTGCATTTTATCAAAACCCGATCAGTTCAGAATTCAAAAGCAAAACAAATAAAAATTCATTTGCTTTAATCCATTTGTGAGCTCTAACATTCAGAATAATCAATTCTACAGACCTGAATATTGATTCATTGATTTTAAATAACTTGTTAATCTATATATTGATTTTTGGTCCTCAGTTTAAAATGAATTCTAGGCAGTAAGTAATCTTAAATCAATGATGCTAAAAATGTATTCAAAGTCCTTTCAGATAATATAATTGATAAACATGTCAGTCAAGAACAAAAATGATCAACTCTTTAGTTGATATACATGTAACATGTAAAAATCTTGAACCCTAGCTTATGTATTGTTTAGTCTGTGCATTTCTCTTAAGATAAACTATTATCATTTTCAATATCAACTGTGTGGTATGGTGAAGCATGGCTATTTGTTATGGATTAGCCATTAGATTCATCTGATATTTTTCCTAATAATCATATCAAAGTTAATGAGCCCCATAATTACATTGTATATTTGTTTGTGATCTAATGTCCATTATCATCTTAACATATTTCACTAGAAAGTCTTTTTTTTTTCTTTTATCTATACATTCATATCTAGGCCACAATTTACTTGTACCACATCATTCCACAAACAATTTTAATTTGATAAATTTTGTAAAGTGTTAAATTAATTTCTCTTACTCAGATAATCTGAAATGTCTAAATAACGTGCACATAAGCATAACAAAGTCTAATCTTTAAAGCCCCTTCTCTTCAATTTTCTCTGGGGAAATTGAAACACAAAATATTGATCGGAGAAACAATCGCATGCACGATTAGTTGTTTGTAACTGTCAATACATAATCAATAAAAATACTGTTTCTATGGTAACTCGGGGATCTTGTCTAATATGCAGGAGTTCTGAAATCTATTTTGCCGTCAAATATAGATCATCTTGCATTGGGATGTATAAAACCAAAAATCAATAGCCTTCCAACATTGATTTCACATCAACTACCATTGTATAGTTTTGTAAAAAATCAATACTAGAAACTGAATATTGTAGAATATCTGCCATCATGACACTCCCTAGGAAATATAGCTATCTTTTTTACTGTCGCAAGATTTGATACGCCAGTACATTTTCTAATATTAATCATTTATATAACTGGTTTCCTAGAAGACATGCCAATATATAACTGAATCTATCATTACTGAAAAAAAAAACCTTTCATTAATTATGAAAGTCAATTATTTAAAAGTTTAAATATTGATCAATCTTTATTTTAATTATTTTTTTCCCATTTGGTGAATATGAAAGAAAACACAGAAAAATTAAAAAGGATCACCCACTCTCCTAAAAATGACAATTCAAGCAATTGTTAACAGTTATTGTTTTTATACTGCATATTTAATCACAATTTAATTAATAAGCCCAGTGTTTGCATAAGAAAAAAAAAATCTTTGTTTTACAATTTTTGCGTTAAAAATTCAACCTTGGAAAAGTCACCTTCTTTATGGAAAGCATGTTTAGTTTTACCTAACTAGAATATGAGAATTCAATTAAACATGTTAGTTGTTAAAAATGACAAGACTACCACTTTCATTTACATACTCCCAAATTACATATTTGATAAACTACCATTCCGAAAAATAAATCAGACTGTGGTCGAAAAAAATTGTGTATTTTGGCATAATATATGAAACAATAAACTTGATTTATGATTCCAGCTTTTCTGCTTGACAGGAAAATGTTCTCTCTGCGTAATAATTATGGTTTTAGGAAAATTATTTGTAATTTTCTACTAAAACAATTAGAAGAAATATTTAAGTTCATTTATATTATCTAAATGGTCAAACTATTCAGCTTTCTTGCATATATCTGAACTTTTTTCTAATCAGATGACTACACTGGCAAAAGAAACAACTCAACATATCATATGTGTAAATTCATTTGACCTTTGACTTCTGAACTCCTGAAACACTTTTTAATTATCAAATGTAACTAACTTATCTGACATGCTCCAACATCAGATTGCCATTTCACTACTGGTCTGTATTCATTTGAACAAAAGATTGTCCTTTAATCATTGGTCTGCATTCATATGCACAAAAGATTGCACTTTAACGATTGGTATGCATTCATATGAACAACAGTTTGCCCTCTTACCATTGGTATGCATTTATATGAACATTAGACTGCTCTCTTACCATTGGTCTGCATTCATATGATCATAAGATTGCCCTTTTACCATTGGTCTTCATTCATATGAGCTAAGACTTGATCCCCGACACAGAAATTGTCTCACACTTACTCTGACTGTACCTTTTGACTTGCAGAATACTTACAGTTCTTTTTCAGCAAAATCAGCCTAACACACTGGTGGTCCGACATTGTGGTGCCTTCGGTAAACTTAAGAGTTTTATAGATTGGTTAATACTAACCTGACTGGTTGTAGCTTCTCGCAGCTTGTTTAGTGAGCCCTGCAATCTCTGTACATCTTCAACCAACTGTGAAATCTAGAAATTTAAAGTTCAAATTTAGTGAAAAATAAATAGTTTTTAGGAAATCTTTTTAGAAACATAAAATAACAATAAAAGAGCTTTTTAAATTACCTCTTTTTCCTTGGATGCAAGTTCATGTTCTAGACCCGATCGCTTGAACATGTCGATGGCACGATCCATATCTGGTGCTTCTTGATTTGTCTCCCCTAGTTTTTGCTTCTGTGTCACCTCCGTCAACCTGGTCCTAATCTGCTCTATTTCACGTTCTGATGCCTCAGCTCGCTGAAAAAAAAAATACAAATATTTTTTAAAATAAATACTTTAAAGACTTTGAAACATGACAAGGTCCAAGACCAAAAAAAAAAAAACCCTAATCATGATGCAGCTAAACGAGATCCCCTGAAAATCCATCCTCAATTAAAAGCTCATAAAGCAAATGTTAAGTTACCTTCCTGCAGCAAATCAAGCGATATCTTTTTATCCCAATTGTCCATACTAGAGAGATAATTACACATAAATTGTTTCTGTCTCATCCTCATCAGATAAGCAAGCATAACTATTAAAGGTACAAAGAGCGCAAGCAAAATATATGCTTAATCCAGTCGCTGATCAGAAATCAAAAAGACAAATTATTGCAACAATACAATTGACATGTGAAGGCTGCGACTGGATTTATACAAATGGTGATTCAGTCAAGATCGGATCAATACCATGCTGTTCAATACTTCTTTCTTCCCCAAATCAATAATTTGACATTGATTAAATACTCAGGGTGATGCATTCTTGCAAAATCAATCAATACCATCAGAGGCAGTAAGGCACCAGAGTGGCCCTCCTGTTACATAATGTAGTAGATCCTGACCAGTGAAGTGGGGGACACCCTTACAGAGACAAAATCATCTGACTTTCAGAATCATCCTCTGTCATTTTTAGACATTAGTTTTAAGGGATTATGTTTCACTGCATCTTGAACAAAGGCAATCAATGCAGAGAAACCTATATCCTTACAAAAGCTTTAATACTGATCATGACATCAGATTGTTTTTTTTTTCTTACTGTCTCCATTTTTACCAATTGACACAATCCTCACTTTTTGTAAACCATATCATTTATCTACAGATCTATCTAAATAAAAGAGATTTTCCTTAAATTCTAAAGATCCGAGAAAGTAGAATTTTTTGGTGAAGCACAATACTATTTGATTTTATACTGGAAGTTAATAATCATAATACCTCGTTAGCTCGTTCCAAATCGGACATCACCATTTCCATTTCATCCGATCTGAAAAAAAAATATATCTCATGACTTTAGATTTCTTAATCACTAGCTAGTATGTACATTTTTTTTATTTGGCTCCA